CGGTAGGGCTTGGGTTGGATTAGGGTGGTGTTCTAGTGGAGTTTGCAATGGTTCTACTGCGTCGGGCTTTTCTAAGTTGGGGTCTTCCAGTGGAGTTGTTGTTGGTCACATGAAAAATGTTGAGAGGTCATAAGCATAATGTAGTTATAATCCTTAAGATGTTACAGATTGTAACTGAACTATGGTTTCACCTTATCCCTAAACCTTATTCCCTATTATAGATATTTTATGAGAGAAGACCATTTCCATTTTCAAGGGTTAGGGATTTCGGGTTGATACTATCGGGTTTTCTATGGGAGTGTGGGTGTATTGGGTTGAGGTTGGGGGTTTTCTATGTGGGTCTTCCTGTGGGTCTTCTGGTGGTTCCATGGTATGGGTCTTGGTGTGGGTATTTTGGTGAGGTTGAAGGTTGAGGTATAGATTGTTATGGTTTTGGGTCTTTGGGTGAGTTTTTCTTAGGGGTCGCGTAGCACGCGCGCCTCTGGTGCGGCTACCTATGGGTCTTGGGTGAGTTGAAGGTTGCCCCAATTGGATGAAGGCACCTGGATATGCCTTCGGATCCTCATCTTTGAAACCCCAGGGGCCCAGGGGCCCAAAGGCTGTTGTCAGCCTGCCCATGCTAATTAAAATCCTGGCATCAAACGTACAAATCCAACACGCTTCTCGATACACATGGTGACAATCGTTCAATTGGCTACGTGTATACTTAAACACCCTTTGCGTGCACAAACTTGTGCATCAGCATGATTCTTTTGGGCTTTCCTCGGTGTGTGTGTGTGTGCGTGCGTGCGTGCGTGCGTGCGTAGCATCAGCCACAGTGCAATTTGACGACGCGCAGGTGCAAGGACAAGCACAAGGATAGCAGCCCCCTGGAGCACAATCCCTGTGACTGCATGTTGGCTTTCAGACATGACAACAAGATGAGCGTCCAAAAGCAAAGACATGTAAGAGGCTGGTCACCCCCAAGGCAACTGAGTTGCTTTCTATCGCCCTATGAACCTTAAAACTTACAAACCTCAAACACTACAACGAGAAGTCTACACAAACTTCATCACCCTAGACTCTGTAAGCATTCAACCCTACACCTTACAAACCCCAAACCTAGCCCTAAATCATTTATGTCGATTTTTAGCTATAAGCTGAACTCATAAATCCAACTTCACCAAAGCTTAAACTTGTAATGTGTGCATCTTTGCCATGCATGAGTAACTATACTCCCTATATTTTTCAAGACAGAGATTACCACACACACACACAAGTAAAATAGAAGAGGGGACATAGTTACATGAGATTATTCAATATTCAAATGTATATGGGAGCCTTGAAACCTGTAAGCGTAAACTTCATACTCCACTGGTAGAAGCTGTTTGGTTTGAGGGCTTACGGAAATTGGAGGGGTAATAAGGATGTGAAAGCATGCAACATTAGTCCATGCGCCATGCATGCTTAAGAGAGCAGCTGCAAGTCCATGCCCATTTGAATCTATAGTGGCTACAACGCTGGAATTGGGAAATGGGGATCGCGGTTTGGGTTTAAATAGGGTATATGTATTTAAGAGTTTAGGGTGCAGGGCTTGGGCTGAAGGTGCATTAGCTCATCCGCCTGAACTTGCAAATCCCCATAGCAAGTTGCGAATTGAACCAGGCCTTGCAGGTTTCCGTGCAACAGATATACATACATATATACCCATCCCCATGTTTCTTTTGGTCAAAAGAGAAGGCAGCTCGAAATCCACGAAACCAACCCCGAACAGAAAGTAGGGAGCGCTCATAGGAATGCTTCTTATTTGCGGTTTGAGGGATTCAGGCTTGAGGGTTGAGGCGTTGGTTTTCTGGTTTAGGGTTTAGGGTCTATAAGGGTTTAGGGTTTGGGGTTTCTGAAGAGGCCTGAGTTCTGCATTTTATTGGTTGCATTTTGTTTCTTGCTTTGCAGGGTGTGAAGGCTGAGGTGTTGGCTAAATGGTTTAGGGTCTATAGGGGTTTACGGTTTGGGGATTATGAAGAGGCCCTGAGTTCTTGGTCCTGTTTCGCAGCGTTTGAGGGTTGAGATCTTGGCTGTCCGGTTTAGGGTTTAGGGTCTATAGAGCGTTTAGAAAAGGGCTTAAAGTTTGGGGTTTAAAGAGGCCCTGAGTTTGAGACCTTTTTTCACTACATGTCATATATAAAGAAGATCTTGGTCTTAATTGTTTCCGTGCATTGGGAGCCCCAGTACACACAGAGGTTTATTCTACCCATGCAACCATGCTGGGTAAAACAAAAGATTACAGTAATGTTTTGGGGGTCCTGATTTATGCAATTTGGCTGGGGGTCTGAAGCATGCACACGATTCCGGTTTAGGGGCCCAAGAGACATGAACACTAATTTTTTGCCCTATATAACATGCAAGTACGACATGAGCGCACGTGCGCTGCATTTGCATGATCCCATGTTACACTCCCTAACCCTACCAGTGCATGTGCGCTTTAGTTATGCATGATCCCGATGTATACACTAGACCATGATCCCCGAACCCAAATGTGACATCCGGGTCCTGCAAAGCATAACTCCGAACCTGTGTGCGCCCTGGTCATACCTTTTGAGTGTGTTCGTTCCATATCTCTTCAGCCTCCTCATCTTCCTAGGGATATATTCACGACTTCGTTAAACTTTGAAAGTTTCTTGCAGGCCCCCTGGAAACTAAAAAAGCATGTGCTGCTAACACGCGCATTTCATGCATCATGCCAAAGACGGCCTTCCATGCAGTGGTTGCGCACTCCCATATATCACATACTCGGGCGCTGCATTGCGGAACCCAGCAAGCGCATTAGCGCATCGCCTTGCTGCGCGCTCAGTCTCTTGAATCAGCGCGTTGGCCACAAGGACAGCAATGCAGCGGCAGCGCAACCACAGCCCCACACCTGGCCAACGGTGTGAAGGGACGCAGGATTAAGCGACTGCTGCGTCCCCCTTGGTAGGGCGAAGAATGGATTAGACCCAAAATCTGCAAGTCTCAAACCGAAACTGTAGAACCAACTGAGCCCTGTCTAGTTGGACTTTCAAAAGGTGAGCTACAGACCCTAAAGTCTTGAAATCCACATGTAACGCACATCTTTTTCACGGTAGTGCACTGCTGCATCCAAGATGTCCAGCATCCTCTGCAGTAATCCACTCCCCAGAATATTAAATGCCCCATGTTCTCATAGAACATATACGCGTATATGTTAATATAACTGCATTATAAGGGGCACTTCTCATATTACGGGAAGAGATTACAACGTGCTTCCATGTGCCCAGGGTCCCCAAAGCTAACAAAACCTAACTCACATGAGCTTGTATTGCGTTCACGCATATAACCGGGGGCCTCAGAGAAGAGAAAGTTTTTTCTGGGTGGCCTTGGGGCACAATCTGCATCGCACATGCCGCAATTCTCGCCGCCGAGTCTTTTTAACTCAGCTGCTTCAGCTTCAGACCAAAGAGCACACGATATCTCTGCAGGAGCCGCTTTCCAAGCGATGCCCGGTGGCACGCCTTGGCCATCCGTCCAATGTGTCCAATGAAAGACTCGCCGCAAAACAAGGTTTGGCAGCGAGGATTCAATCTGTCCTTGAGAACTGTATCGGTAAGCCTTACACTCATGCCGACGCAGCTACAGTCACTAGCAGCAAGATTCGATTAAAAGGGCTGCAGGGGCTCACCAACAAAGTGAATAGAATGTATTCTTATAGCTGGCAGAGTGGCATGTGCAGGAGGTAGTGGTGTTTCGGCACCAGGGGCCAAAGAGAGCGGTTCAGGGCCTGATGGCCAAAGGTTCTGGCGCTGCGGTTCCTCAAAGCACTGTAGGTCTGCAAGTGAACCAGGCCCAAGTTATGGATAGTCCTGGCATCGGTTTCTGACAGCAGCAAAGGTGCCATGTCCAAACGTTTCAACATTTCAGCATAGGCAATCATGCATGTGCAGCATTCTTGATCCAAGAGGGTTGCATTCTCCATGCAGCCAAACTGTTCTGCCAAACTGGCAAGCCAGTAGGTGATGCGCTTCGAGGCAGCACCTTTCGAAGCCAGGGAGGGCATCTGTGTACGGCCCTTACGGTGGAGACGGGCCGGTGTGAAGCGTGGGTGCGAAACAGGTTTGCCGTACTCTTTGTTGTACTCAACGAAGTGTTTGTATGCCACATTCAGGCAGACGCCAAGAGCCAGCTCATACTCGCCCACCATTTCACCAAACCAGCCACGCTCGATCACATAGGTGAGGAAGGATCCTTCAAATGATGCACAGAGAGACAGAGGCTGGAAAAGGGGATAAGCAAAAACATTAGACACACAACTTTACAGCTGCAGGGTCTAGGCCATATGTAGGGTTCATGTAAGTTGAGTACTCAGAGACTGCAACCCATTGAAACCCCAAAAAAACAAACAAAGCTGTGAAATCCGTTTGTCAGCTTGCCCGTGCCCAACAGTTGGCCATGAAGTGGGGCGTGTAAGAAGCGATCGTAACGGAAGCCCGGGATGTCAAAGAAGACATGCCCTTGGTTGAGCTACACGCATGAATCTTTATGACCATGGGTGTCATGGGTACTGTTTCTCATGGTCTATTTAAGTCTATTTTATTGCTTTTCTGAACATGTCTCTATAGACATGACTGCGTGAACATGATACAGGACATGATGTTGACTCGTCCGCATGTACACTGCGTAGCCCATAGTATTATTCCTATTAGTAGTAGTAGTAGTAGTAGTAGTATAGTAGTAGTAGTAGTAGTAGTAGTAGCAGTAGCAGCAGCAGCAGGAGTAGTAGTAGTAGTAGTAGTAGTAGTACTCATAGCTCTGAATAGGTTGCCTGTATCATGCGCAAGTAATTCTCCAAGCGTCTGGAGTTGGGATCTGTGGCAGCCCAAAACTCGTCGTGACCAAAGCGCGCTTGTCGATGGTGCGCGGTATCACTGAAATCACCCAGTGTGTTGCTGGGGTTGCCAGGGTCAACCTTTTTGCATGAGCAGTATCCGCAAAAACTGTTTTGGTTATAGTTGTGAACGCCAAAGTGCTCCTTCAACCATTTCAAATCTCCAGTGCACGAAGACATGGCAAAGCCATAGCCAGCAGCAGACCAAGGCCAATCTCTGCGCCCCACCAGAGAAGCGAATCTGGCTGACAGATGTTGCATGCAATCTCCCCAGGTTTCTTCTGTGGCCAAGTATTCGCTGAATGCTGATATCAAGAAGTATCTGTCCAATGGCAGATGCTCGCGTGTGAAGTAGTCAGTAGACCACGCACACACTGAAATCACACCCACCTCTGTATTCTTGTAGGTGTGAACATCGTCCCCATAGAAAGTAATCGGCGCCAAACGCGCCAAGTTCTCAGCGTGAGCAACGTGACCGGCTGCCCACTCGTGATGCTGCACATGCTGCCAAAACACAGCAGCATCCTGATCTCCGAAGAAATAATACTGGAAGTATTCTTCTCCAAGCTCCCAAATCTTCAGCGCAAGCCGGTCCGGAAAAATGAAGGGAAATTTCGTGACCTTCAGCTGTCCAGTAGACGGTTGCCAGAACCTAACGTCGCAAAATTCGATCTCAACATCCAAAGCTGTCTGCTTCAACACATTGTGCATATCGCGCTCAGCATTGGACGGGTGCTTGCCATTGAAAGCAATTTGGCTGAGTTTAGATATGACAGACTTCGGCGGTGTCCGCCCACCACACGAATTTGTGTGCTCCACAACACCAGCAGCGATTTGCTGTACCTGTCCCAGACGTTGTAAACGTCTAGGGTCTCGGTTTTCAGGTTCAGGGTCAGAAGGGTCAAGGCTCAGAAGGGTTACAATATGGGGCCAAAGGCTTCTAAGATTGAAGGTTTCCAGGGCTTGACATCAATGATTCACGTGAGAGTATGAGGCGCACTGCTGCCCAAGAAAATCCCAAACCCGTACACCCTGAGCCCGATTTTGTAATTATATAAACGTTACCTATTCACAAAGCTGATAAACAGTAACCCTAAACCTGAAAACTTATAAGCCCCAAACCCTAATCTCAAATCCCAAACTTAAGTCCCAAACTCCACATCTACGACTCGAACCCCTAAACTTTCAACGCTGAACCCCATATGCCCTAAACCTTTCAACTTTAAGCTTACCTTAAACCCTAAGCCTCAAACCCTGGACCCAAAACCCTAAACCCGAAGCTTTAAACCCTGAGCCCTGAACCTCAAACCGAAGACCCTAAACCCTATAAATTTGGGCACCTCCTATTTGCAGAGCGCCTTAATTGCTGAGCAGCGCCCTTCAATGAAATCCATGATTAGGATCTCTTCCAGTGGGCTCGATGCTGCCTGCGCGTCAGGGCACAGTCGACAATATATAGTATATGTGCGCTGACCCACCTTTCTTTGAAGCACTCTCCGTGGATTTTCATTGCCCACTTCCTGACACGCCACACCACAAAGGAACACTCAGCATGGAACGCAACATTGCACAATTGTCTCCTCTGCCACCAACACAACATCATCATCTTCCTGGGCAGCAGAACCTGCGCACATGAACTATAGCATGCAACTGCCTGGCCTTAACCTGTTAAATCCCCACCTGCATCCTAACGACTTGCAAATTTCAAGCCCATCTGGTGCATCATACAAGTTGCGATGTACTCTGAAAATGTGAAAAAGCCAAGGCCTTAGAGCTAGAAGCGCTCACATGAAAATGAAATTGGGAAAGATTGAATGCCCTCAGGAATCCTCGGGCAGCATCTGCTGCAGAATGTCTTGGTGGCGCAACTGACACCTGGCATACATCAAACCAAAGTCCAACTAGCAATGTCTGCGCGTGCGCAATATTTGGATCCTGCCTCGTCATCGTCGTCACACAGCTCTTCTCTTGCCAGCTCTGCATCTGCGAGGGAACAAAACCAGTGCAAGTTTGTTCCAAGATAATTCCACAAGCACATGTCAGTTCAGCATGCGTGGCCATGTTTTCTTGCGCGCATGCGCACAGGCAGGCAGGAACACCGCGCCTGCAAGTTTTGTTGGCGAGCAAACTCCACAGCAGCTGGTTTTAAGAAACCTTGCTGCGTTAATGCATGAATTTACGATGCATCGGAAATGATGGGGGAGATCAACTTTCTACGAAAGGAGTTCTCCCACATGATCGAGTCCACGTTCGGAAAAGTCGCTGCAAGTGTGCTATGGCAGGCATGGCCTGTTGGGAAGATGTGCAGTGTGCGCAAACCCGTCTGCTGAGTTATGTGTACTTGAAGAAGTAGCACACGCAGCTTTCAATCCACAATGCATCCAAGCAGTCACCTTTGCAGCGTTCAGTTGTCCACCTGCTGCTCTTCACCCTGACAAACTGTCCACGCAACAGATAACATTTCTGGGACACACTTTCAAACCTGGGAAAGGGTTCAGGGTTTGTAGGGGGTCTGTGGACACTTCTCTGTCGCCTTCTTCTTGCGGGCAGCCGTCTGCTTCGTGAGCTTCCGGGCCGACTCTGCATCCTCCTTGTAGAGCTCCATTCTCTGCAAAGCCAGCTTCAACGCTGCCTGGTAGGCGATAACATTCACGGCCGTGGGATCCTTCAGGAAGCTGAACCCCAAACCCTGAACCCTGCCCTGTGCACGCAGCAGCCCACATGCGCATCATGAACTACACCGAGCAATGCAAAAAATCCACAAACCAAGCCACATCTGTCCTGCTTTGTGAAGTCACGGACCTGAAAATAAGAAGCCTCCAACTCGGAAATGTGAACCTCCATGGTCTTGCCTGTGCAAGCAGTGAAGCATGAAAAACATGTTTTACATTGCAGACTCTGCAAACACATTGTAATTGCACAAAGTTGCGCAATTCCGTCTGGTGCTTCATGGGCTGCAGCAGAACTGGCATCATCTTGCAGGCTTGCAAGTCTGTGAAGATCATGGGCAGGACCTGTGGGCCACCCACCAGAGGATCTGCAGGCAACCTTAGTTGCGACATGTGCAGTTGTAGATTAGAATGACGCATTCCCGGGCAATTTGCATGGAAATCCCAAATAAATGCAAGATGCGCGAAAGGCTCTTTCGGGTCCTTGGAACCGCGACCTTCGCCGCTCCCACTTTTGCCCTTTCCCCGGCCATTGCCTTTCTGACCTCTTCCCGAGTCTGGCACTGGCGCTGCCAGTGTAACACCTGGCTCCATGGATGAGCCTGCCATCAGGGCTGGCACGTGCTCTCCCAGGACCCGCGCCGCATCCGAGCCACCAGACGCAGACCCAGCGATAGAAGCGTCCACCCTTTCTTCCAAGATTTCAAGGCTCGAGTGTGTGATGTCAAGCGTGACCTCAAGCAGAAAAAATCATGATTTGCTCACAGTAGACTTCATGATCATGCGCATGCTGCGCATGCGCAACACATGGAGAATTCACAGGCAAGCGTCGTAAAAGAGAAGCATCTCCGCATCACCGGGGAAATCCGGATGTTCTCGCACGTGACCCACTCTTTTTTTCCTCTCTATCAATGCCAGCACTGCTGCTTCGTTGTGAGAGTACATCTCCATGAGCTGTTGTTTTGTCCTCCATCCTTAGATAGATAACATGCAGAACAGAAACATAAAAATCCATTGCGTGTACCCAAGCACCAGCAATATCAAGTGTCCCATGCGGCATTCTCCCTGGCTGCGATCGATACGCGAGGTCGTCCTCGAAATCGTAATCCTCAGTACCATAAGTCACAGGGCACTTGCATGAGTTTGCAAAAGCATGTTGCAGGAAAAAAACTCAAGATTTTCCTTGCAACAAGATGCTTTCCCCAGTCTCCTCCAGACTGCAGCCACTTGCTAAACAAAGCCGACTTGGCAGTACGGGACTTCGCGGCGCAGGCCTCAGCCCAAGCCTTGACAAACTCGTCAGGCACAGAGCCACCCACGTTCTCACCAGTCACTTGCCTGCAGCAGAAATTGCAAAGAAGACACTCCAAGTCACGCGTTAATTGTTTTCATGTTTATACATGGAAGCGCTGAACACAAGAGCGCTGAAGTAGCTTAGCCTCCTGAAGCAAGCATAATGGCTCTGCCGTTGCTTCGCATCTTGTGGCACAATTGGCACAGCCTGTCCATAACTGTTTACATGCATGTATGCCTGTGTGCATTTTTCTGGTCAACAATTCTAGGTGTGAAATGAAAGCAACATGTGATCTTCTGATATCTGCCAAGTGTCGCCCGGAGCTACAGCAATGTCTTGCGCTGGAACTGGGTTCCTGGAACCCTCAGCAGTGGTTGCTCTGCTTCTGGGAGGGGCCGAGTTCGCGGACTGGGGAGCTTCAAGGGTGTTCACAAACCCTTCTCGAGGTGCACTGTCAGGCTGGCCGCAGCTGGGCCGGGCCGGGCTGGGCGCAGCGTCGGGCACGGCGGGAGGGGCAGAATCAGGCACTGCTGGCCCTGCGGGCACAGCAGGGCGGGCAGAACAAGGACGAAGCGCTGGAACAGGGGTGGCAGACTCAGCACCAAGCACTGCCAGTGTTGTGTTGGGCTCGGCCTTAGTGCCAGGCACTGCCAGTGTTGCGTTGGGCTCGGCAGAAGTGTAGGCAGAGGGGAAGCAGTCTTCAGCCTTTACAGTGGAGGAAGGGGCTACCGAAGGGGCAGGTAAAGCTGCAGCGCTGGGTGTTGGGCAACTGCTGGGGCTGCTTGTGGGCCTGCGTTTGGCCCTGGGCTCAGTCCCTGACACTTCTAAAAAGCGAGCGTTTTTTTTGGTTGTCCTCGCCGGCCTTGCAACGCAAGCTGGTGGGCACAGCCTCTGGGCTGCTCTTCGCAGACAAATCCGGAGACCCAGCCACCAAGGGGGGTGCAGCGTAAGGGGCCCGAGCAGGTGTAGGAACAACAGGGGGGCGAAGCCACCTCTGCCCTTACCAGTGACTGCCGGGTCTTTCACTTTCACAGTCTTCACACCAGAACTTGCGGCAGGACTGCCTACTGCAGCAGCTGGAGGGCTCGGTGTTGCAACGTCCAACGAAGGTGTGCCCGGCGTTGTGAACGAGGCAGTAGAGAATGACCTCATGAACGCATAAGGCCCTGATTTATGTGCTTTGGGGGCTGCTTATGGAGGATATTGGAAATGTTGGCAAAGGCGGGATATATGCAGTTAAAGGAGGCAAAGGCTTCCCTCATGCAACCTTACTTGCACTCCGTGCATGTGAACTGGAGTTCTTCTTTGCTCATCTCCTGTCCTGCCCTCTTCGTTCTTCTCCTCCCACTCCTTCTTCCTTTTCCTCACTATACTTGTATCTAAGGGCACTGTTACAGTCAAAAAACATTAGTAAAACACACGCTTTGCATGGTCCACATATATGTATACCTCATGCACGCGCAAGCACTGAGCTAAGACTCTGGCAAACAAGCTCGCAAAGCCGAGGGCCGAGGAGCACCCGGCTTGGGGCCAGGCACCACTGTAGGTGACTCCTGGTCAGGCATTATTATGGTGTGTTGTTTACTGAAACGGCTGTCTGAGGCCCCAACAAAAGCTCTGCGAGGGCTGGGTGTCGTGTAATTCATGTCCAGGGTCTGCCGGCAAAAGACCAAAGAGCATTACAGGCAACTTCACATTACCCAGCCTCCGAAGACATGCTGCAGCCACCAGCACCCACAACTAAAGGCTTCACAGGAAACTTGCTTGGACCGTCTGGCAAGAGGCAAGGCGGATGCAGTGCTGCTTCTGCAAGAAACTGGATTTTGTAACTTACGAACCGGCTCGTCGTGTCATCGCAGTTTTGAGAAGCCCGAAATTCC